CAACATCTTTTTGTTGGTATGTGGTGCTGAGGATCGAACCCAGGCCGCACGCATGCCAGGCGAGCAYGCTACCGCTTGAGCCACATCCCCAGCCCGATTTTTATTATTTATGTTGATATTGAAACTTTAAAAACATCTAGCAAAGGTGATTGGTTCTACCATTTACTACACTTTAGAAAGATCAATGCTTTTAAGAGGTTTAAAATGTAGCTAAGGTACAGAGTTATCCACTCCCCACAAAAGTCATCTATTACTTAACTGAAAATGCACTAGTGTGATTTGTTTACTAAAGTTCTCATCCAAACAATTAACCAAGTTATAAAAAGGATGGCACTCCTTTTTTTTTTTTTTTTTTTTTAGGTACTGGGGAACTCATGGCCTTGTGCCTACCCAACTAAGCTATATCCTCAGCCCCCACAGCCCCGCTACCTCTTAATTAACTAAAACATACCTGGTTTTCTGTATCATATGTTTTGGTAGGGGTCCAAGAATCCTTTCCATCATTGCCAAGTGCTCCTTACTATCATGTGTCTTAAAAAACAAAACAAAATATTGTTAACTATCTTTGCATACACATTGCGCACTATTCTCATTTAACATCAGTGTTAATTTTCTAAGTCAGGACATGAGTAGAAGGTACAACAAAGATGAGCGCCCAAAAATACTTTTCAGTGACTACACGGTGTGTGTGTGTGTGTGAAAAACAACCCTGAATAACAACTTCCAATAGCTTGGCAATGACTTCCTCAAATGGACAGGGATAATCACTTATAAGAAGATGATATAAATCACAAAATTATATATAAACCTTAAATTATTCTTATAAATACACACTCTTCTAGTGTAAAACTGCTGAAAAATCATAACTTACTGGAAATACTGTAAACCCAAGATAGTATTCAATAAGAATACATCCTATACTCCAGACATCACATGGTTGGGACCATCCTAGGGCTGCAAAACAAAGCACAATGTTAGGGGAGAAAAAACTTATTTCTTAAAGATATTAAAAGTCAATTAATGAAGAATTGGTGTAAGTATACAATGTATACAACCAGAGATATGAAAAATTGTGCTCTACATGTGATAAGAATTATAATGCATTCTACTATCATATATGCAGTATAAAAAGTATTATTGGGAATTAAAATTTGCCTTCCTGTTTTTTTGAGAAATATATAAAGGACTTCCATTATTCTGGGGGGAAAAAAAGGCAATTAATAACTGGGCATGGTGGCACACGCCTGTAATCCCATTGCTGAAATGGGAGAATCACAATTTCAAAGCCAGCCTCAGCAATGGCRAGGTGCTAAGCAACTCAGTGAGACCCTGTCTCTAAACTGCCCAGGTTCAGTCCCTGGTACCCAGTACCCCCACCCCAAAAAGTTATTAACAAGTTCAATACTCTCTTGAAAAAGAACACATACAGTGAACTAGAAGGAATCATCTAATGTAAGGTTGGTTGGGCTTTGGAGACACCTGAGTTCAAGTCAAGTGTTTTAACTATGGGACCATTAAATTTATCAAATTTTTTTCTGGGCCTCAACGCCTTAACCTGTAAAACAGGAGCTAACTGGACCATGCAAAGAGACTAAACATACGGATTCTCTGGGATATAATGTACATTAAAGAAACACATTTTTAAGCCCTACCACATGCACTGAATGATGATTCTGGTCAACAGTAAGCTGCAAAGATACTGGATTACAATGAAGATGGAAAATTCCTACCACCAAATAACGTAGCTGTTCGAACATCAAGGCACAACTTGCATTGCTCAAGTGTTATATAATTCTGGTGGAAACATTCATGTGCGGGCAGCTTTTGAAAAGTGTAGCAAATTTATGATTCAATACTTGGCAATGTTAACAACTATGTTACTGATTTATGAGTTTAGCAACACCACAAAAATACATATTTGCTGTAAAGCAGTATGCAGTGTTTTGCTGACAGTAGCCYCATACACCTCCTGTTTACTAAATCTCTTGATTGCATCATAGTTTTTGTGCTTGATAATATACAGTTTAGTGTGTAGAGTTCACCCCAACACATTTCTCAGAACATATTCTCATCATTTAGCAACACATGAATTCACTACAAATGTGCAACCAATTCCAAAAGAGTTAAGCTACTTGTGCAAGTCTGAGAGCTACTGAGTCACAGAGCTTAAAATCCTTAGTGTATTTTGTAATACTGATTCTTAAAAAAGATTTTTTTGAAAGTTCTATATTGAATAAGACCTAAAACGGAATTTTTACAACAGCTTCAAAACATACACGYTTTCAGAGCATAATTAACAAGTACTAACCTAAAATAACTTCAGGTGCTCTATAATGTCTTGTAGATACCAATGTACTGTGATGTTCATCATCATAGGTTGCACTGCCAAAATCTACAACTTTAATATCTGGATTTATTAAGGTACGTTCATCACGTTTCTGAAAATCATAAAATGACAGTTATGAAGACAAAATAAAAAAACAAAACAAAAAAATTCACCCTAAACTATGAAGATTATACATTGAAAACTTACCATTTTGGGATTATATACCTCTGTGTAGTCAGACTGCACAAATAAGATGTTTTCAGGCTTTAAATCTGTGTGAGTCAATTTATTGCTGTGCAAAACTGAAAATGAAACAAAAGTTTTACTGTAACCTGATAATGAGAAAAAAAAAAAAACCCAACAACTTGACCTCCCCAACTCTATAGTAAAAATCAGATGCATTTCCTGCATACTCAAATAATCAATCAGTAAAATTTTAATCAGCTAGAAAAATTACCAGAAACTAAAAGGTACTACCCTTTTAAAAAAGTACCAACAGCACAAGGTTAATAATATTTTTAGGAAACAGTTTAATCAGTGTTCAATATAAACTATGTTGGATAATATCATTTGTCAAATTAAACACATGCTGTAGACTAACATCTTATAATCAAGTAAATCTTTACTACTTACCTACCCAATTCACCCTCTCCTTCTATTTGATAGGATCTCATCTTACCCAAGCTGCCCCAAACTCCTGGACTCAAGCTGACCTCCTGCCTCTCAATCTCCCTACTTTACCCAGCTCTCCTTTTAATTAACAAAGAACTGTACATGTTTAGGTCTCGTTTTTTTAAAAATCCAGACCAGTCTGGCATTGGTCTCAAACTCACAGCTTTTGGAAGACAGGTCAAGAACTTACAATTCACAGACTTGCATATCTGATATGCCATCTTCCTGATATGATCCAGTCGAAATGGCAGAAAACCATTTTCCTTAATGAAATCATAAGTACTAAGTCCCAGTAGTTCAAACACAATGCAAATGTGACCATGATGCTCAAACCACTCCAACATCTGGACACAGCGGCTGTAACATGAAAAAAAGGGTTGAGTATACCTTGCAGTTCAAATCTGCCTTAGGCCATTTTCCAAGTTTTACTTTACTACTTACAAAGTACTGTTGGGGTCTGTTGTATTTAAGTGTTCCAGAACTTGAATTTCTGAGCGAGCAGCTTCACAATATCTATCCACATTTTTAACTATTTTTACTGCTACATGTCTACCTCCCCTGTTAAGAGAAAATAAATCTAAGTTAAAAAATGATAGATGTGCTTCAAACCTCAAAGGGCACCAAAAAGGAAATAATAAAAGATACATGTGATATTCAATTTCAGTTTTCTATTATTCTCTTTTAACTAGTTTTAATCTCACCTATTAAATTTTATTTTCTTAAACTTGTTGTTTAAGTACTCTATGATATGATTCAATATAAGCAACTATGGTCTTTGAACATAGTAGAATTAGTAATGCCAATACATACTAAATGACACAAACTTCTTTCATGAGATCACCATTCAGGACCAACTAACAATAAGAAAAGTTCTAATTTAACAAGTATACGGTGATAATGCCACCTTAACTTGCATTCCAACTAAGACTCAAAAGTATATAAAGCAGTTTCTTCCTAAAGAAACTCACTCACCTCTGTCAAATTTTGAATTGGTTAGGTTATCAATAAGTTACGATAAGGTGGCATAGCAAAGAATGCTAGGTCTCAGAACATTACCAAGTCTCCTTAAACTTAAAAGCTCTGCCATTTAGAAGGGGGAATATCACTGAGATGCTGGAAACTGAGCCCAGGCCTTGTGCATGCTAGGCAGGCACTCTACCATTAAGCTACAATCCAGATGTCAAGAAAATAAATTTTAATCAGCAGTTTGAAGGATATATATATAATATTAAATAATTATGATCCTAATACAGAAGAGTTATCAGCTCAGTCCTGGCTGTTATCATAATGAATGATGGCACTTTCTAAAAATGGAGGCTCCTAGTAAACCAAATACCTCGAAAAGATTTGAGACAAAAAAAAAAAAAAAAAAAAAAAGCTCCAAAATTCTAATGTAAAACCAAGGCTGAGAAACACTATTATAAAAAGAGAAAAGGAGCAAGGAGGGGGAGCCATAACTAAGCCTGGTAGGACAAACATATGAACACTTTTCAAAAACAAACTATGATCTCAGCCTGAACTGGAACCAAAAGCTGCATATATCCTTTTTTATTTTTAGTTGTTGATGGACCTTTATATGTGGTGATGAGAATCAAACCCAGTGCCTCACACATGTAAGGCAAGTGCTCTACCACTGAGCCACAACCCCAGCTCTGCATATACCCTTTTTTTCCCTGGCGCTGAGGACTAAACCCAGGAACGCTACGCCAGCCCAGAAGCTGGATATAATACTTAAATACAACATAAATACAATATCTTTAGAAGTTTCTCATAAACAAGCCAAGATACCCCAGCCCAAACAGCTTAATGATATAAAGTACTTTTCTACACTGGCAAGCTTCTCAAGTATAATCCCAGCACAGGAAACTTACGCTTTATGATCGATACATTCCACAACTTTTCCAAAAGCCCCTTCACCTAAAGTATCAACAATTTCATCTAGGAGAGAGAAATGAATCTCAGTTACACCAAAAAGTGGAAACAAAGTACTTATCATAATAAATGCTATCAATGAAGATTATTCTAGTTCATGTTACTAATTTCCTTATTGCTAGATATTTATATTTTATTGGTCAACACCACCAAAAAAATACAACTARTTTTAGGTCTAATTTCATTGTTAGGCTAACTTCATTAACTTGATTTACTGCTCTGGAAGTTCTGCATAACATTAAATTTCTAAAGAAAGCAAAAACACAATCCCCCCCCACCAAAAGAAATGGAAAAACAAAATAAAAACAAGAAAATAGAGAAAGRAAAAAAAAAAAAAGATCTCCAAATCCCTGAAATCTTAATCTATATAGATTATGCTATCTGAAAAGTTAATAAGTGTTGAAAAATATTCTATACATCTTGCACTTAGTACGTCTCCACTCTGACAGATCAGGTGACCCTCCTCATCATCCTCTACACTCCTGGTTCTTTTCCTTCGGTGACTCTTCTGGAAACGTCAAGTGGGCGGCACCAAGATCATCCAGCCAATCAATATACCCGAGTGAATTCAGGGCAGAATACGAAATTCATTCAGCGGGGAGATATTCAGGCATTCAGATACACGCCAGGCCACAAACGGTTGGCAGGAGCAATTTCAAATTCAGTCCCCAGAAATTCACAGGGCACATAGTTTATGTTAACAGGAGAAAAACATGGCAAGGAACAGATTTTCAGATAAGATACTCAAAGTGGTAAGGCAACAAAACATAAATACAATTGTTTTTCTTTAAAAAAAAAAAATGCTTAGTTGTAGCATTCACTGAAACACTGAAACATAATTTTAAGTTTCTAGTGTCCTAATTTAATGTTCCAAAATTGTAGGATGTAATATTTACTTGTTAAAGTAGACTGTGGCCAAATTAAGATTTCCTAGCTAATCTAAGAAAACAAATATCAGAATAGTAAATAAAACCAAAGTCCTAGTTTTGGGAAGAAAAAAGAATTGGTATACAAGGATAACACTACAGTATTTTAAATGTCATCTGAGCTATCACCAAATTAATACATAACCCATAAAGTTCAAATCTTTTATAGTTTGTTTAATGAAAGATTACAGAACATGCTTTGTTAGGACAAAAAAGTACATCTAATCATCAATCACACAAAAATGTCTATTTTTTGTGATGTTTGAACTTATCAAGTCAAAGCAGAATTCTTGAAGTACTATAAAAAACCTTTCAGAATATCTTGTTATTGCTTTTATGTTACCTTCACTATTTTCATTGAAATGACAATTAGAAGCCAACTAGTAAGTAAAATCTATTATTACAGAATTAAACATACTGCTTTTCTGGAATTTTATCCAACGTACAAATAGAAATAATCCTCCAAGTTAAAGCTGAGATGGCTTTATCTTAAACAGAATTTTCTCAAACACAAATTCAAGTTTTCCTGTTCCACATGGGAAATAAAATTTCCAAATGTTTTAAAACAGCTCATACCCCATGTGAGCGATGATGTGAAGTACTGTGCTGAATCCTGTGTTTACTTTTATAACTACTTCTTCCACTTCTACCAGAGGACTTGCTACTATGGTTCTGATATCTGCTTTCATGATCTCGATGGCGATGTCCAAGTTCACATCCTTGACTGTAGTCATTTCTGTACTCATCAATATAGCGTCGACTATGATAATCTTTCTCATTTATAGATCTGCTTTCCATGTAATAGCTAGAAAAAAAATATATTTTCTATTTTCTGCCAATACTAACCTTTGTTAAATTCCTAGTTAGCTTTTATTTTGTGGTGCTCATGCATGCTACTGCAAGAACTCCACCACTAGTTACAGCCCCAGACCTACAGTTACCTCCCCCTCCAAACMCGCAACTTTACACATTAGAAGCCATCAAAAATCTCACTGGAAGCAGGAATGGTAACCAYAAGGTAACACTAGTTTTATCACCATAAAAATGTGGTTTTTATATTCAGACACCCTTCTTACCTATCAGATGTTTTAGAGTGATTGTATTTGCAATGCTTGTTCTCTCGACCACTGCTATATGATCTCTTCTTTCTCTTATGACTGCTACTGCTTCTCCATTTTCCATAATCCCAGTCCTTTTCATCCCAGTCAGGACAGTAAGTTCTCTTCGAGTGTCTCATCTACATAAAAGACAAAATCATCCCAGTTAGATTGTATCTAACACTAACTTTTTTAAAAAGAATATTTTTGGTTGTAATAGACACAGTGTATTTTATTTATTTATGTGGTGTTTGTTGAGAATGGAACCCAGGGCCTCAAACATGCTAGGCAAGCCCTCTATTACTGAGTCACAACCCCAGTCCTAACATTGTAACTTTTAACAGTATATAACTCTTTACAAATTCACTTGTTACAACCTTTTAATCAGAAATTGCTAAAAAATTATTGCACTGTCCCATATTTTGAAGTTTGTGAACTTTACTCACAAGCATTCTGCATTGTCCATGTCATGCCCAGATTTATTTAAAGTTTGTGTATGGGAGGAGGCGTAGTAAGGGAATTTGAGGAACCCCAATTTAACTTTGCTAAAATTTTATTCGTGTCTCCAGAACAAGTACACATGCAAGCCAAGTGCGGTGGCCCGTTTGAGCCCCCGCCAAAAAGTGTATGAACACATACACACACACAAAAACCACATGTGTACATACACATACTAACAGAAACATGTACATATAAACACGTTTGCACATAAATACACAAACTGTGCATTCTATGCTCTTTCCTCCCTCGGGCTCCTAGTTCGGTTTCTCGGGCACCACTAAGGGTAGAGGGCCTTCTATACTCTTTACGAGTCAACCAGACTTGAGACTGCCCTTATTCCACCAGGAGTCAACTATTTTTTTTTCCCCTCCATTTGCTATGGACACTTCCGCCCACAGCGGGGCGACCTAGGAACATTCCAGAATCTCAAGCGGCGCCTCCCAGGGACAGTGCTACGCCTGGCCTCCACCCCGCCGCCATCTTAGGACTCGGGCGCAGGCACCGCAGGCCCGAGCTCGGCGGGCCGCCGCCCTACCGAGCGGACCCTGACAGGGCGCGCGGCAGGCAAACACCGTCGCTACTCCCCGCAAACAGAAACTGGCAGCAAAGGGCTCGGTAGAGGGTACGAGCGCGCTGCCTTTATGGAGCTCTGGGGTGCGGGAATAGGAGGCAGCGAGCCGGAGAACCGGCAAACAAAAAGAGGGCAGCCCCCGACATACAAGGAGGACGCCTAGTACACTCCCTCCACCGCCTCGAGTCTCACCGTCCTGCTGGAGACTCTAAGCCGACGGAGACGAAGCTTGCAATGCGACCTCCGGAAGACACAGCTGATTGCGACGGGCACCGACCACAAAATGGAGCTGACAATCCCAGCAGCAGCCCTTGACCCAAAAACACCGATGACGTGGCAAAGGCGTCGTGGCCGCGGGGCAGGGCACGCATGCGCGAAGGGCGGGGCACGCGCGCGGCACTATGCGCAGGCGCCAGGTGGTCTCTCGGATTTCCAAGGGGGTTAGAACCGGAGAGAAGTCCCGTCCAAGCTCATTAAAAACTGGGATTTTGAACGCTAGTAAAGTGAGGGAAGCTGGATACAAAATAGCTCTGTTCTTTAACTGCAGCCATTAAAAGAACGCTTTACCACCAACGTCAAATTAGCTCTGAATTAGTAATTGGCTTGGTTTGGGCTTTTGCTAAGATTCTAAGACCTGTTTAAAATTAGTTTCCTCAGTTTGGTCCCAGCATCGCAAACAAAATAGTTTTTAGTGGCTAGGCACCGCACGCACTGAAATTGGGTTGGAAAGATTTTTCCTAAAATTTTAAAAGAAAGAATTGAGTGAGCAAGATCTTGTAGGAAAAGACTATAAACATTCAAGCATTTCAGCGTTACACCAGGCTTCTGTAGTGTTAAGACCAAGTGAACTGAAAAAAAGGTATAAAAGAAAAATTATGAGAAAATATGAAGTGTAATTGTTGTCACTTTTAGGAATATTTAAAAACCCAGTGAAGGTGACCAAGCTGTAGGTGTGTAGCAGTTGCTGCTCAGCTACTGCAATTTATTGTTAAAATGGATGTTTCTCTTCCTGCTCCTCCCTAATCTCTTATCTCCTCTCTAACCTCAAGGGGAAAGGGGATTACCTTTCATCCAGACCCCAGGCTGTTTTTTGTTCTAGAGCACAAAAAACCCCAGGAAGGAAGTAATTCAGACTTTGGCATGGCACTTGAAGACCTCAGAAATTATTATCTCCTAAATTAATAAGTGAATTACAACTCCTAAAGGGAAATACCTGGAATGTACCCTTTGAATCACCTGTTTAAAAAGCCTCCTGTCCCAGATGATGGACAGAAAGAATTACAGCCTCTGGGACAGAAGTCCCTGTTTCTCCTTTGCTAGCAAAGCGATAAACCTTCTTTTTCATTTTTCTCAAAACCATGGCCTCATTATTGGATTGACATCTGGTACAAGGTCCAAGCTTTTAATAACGGAATGTGGTTCTTGACAAAATCAACAGAGCCTGGTAAATGGCTTGAATAGGTAAAAGCCTTGAATAGGTAAAAGCCCTATGGTAGACCTGAATGTTAGGAAAGCAGTTACCTGGTACAAACACTTAGTACCTGCCAGGAGCTTTACACCAATTATTTCACTTAATTCTCACAATGGTCTCAGGAAATATAACTTTTTTTTTTTTAAAGAGAGAGTGAGAGAGGAGAGAGAGAGAGAGAGAATTTTTAACATTTATTTTTTAGTTCTCGGCGGACACAACATCTTTGTTGGTATGTGGTGCTGAGGATCGAACCCGGGTCGCACGCATGCCAGGCGAGCACTCTACCGCTGAGCCACATCTCCAGCCCAAGGAAATATAACTTATGGATGAGAAAACTAAACTAAATAAACCTGGAGATGTTAATTTGTCTACAAGCACACAGTACTAGGACCAGCTATGTTGCAAACCCAGACCAGGACTCATGCTTTTAACCAGTTCGTGGCATTTTTCAATGTTTTCAAAGATCCGCTTTTAAAAAATGTCCCATGAGCAAATCAGTTGAAAAATGTTGAGCTTACTGTATTCTAAGTGAAGGACATGGAAAATAAACTCCAGGACACTTCCCCTTTCTACAGCTGTTCCCCCACCTGCCTTCCTGCCAGGTGTGTAGGGAGATGTCTGTGGTAAATGGGAGCTTTTGACATTCAGAAACCCAGGCCTCTGCTGAAAGGAAGGCAGGAAGGGAAAATGGGGAGAACATAAAAGGAAAGGGCACCTGACCCATATCAGACTGAACTGGCTGTCTCCAGTACAATAGCCCCAGGGAACTTCCCTACCAGTCCTGTCCCATCCTAAAGGAGCCCATCAAAAGTAATTGACCAACTCATCCCAGGACCAGGCTCTGCTAAACCCTGTAAAACTCAGACCCTTGTTGTAGCCTGTCACCATTTTCTCTCCTGAAAATGTGCCCCTCAGCTGCTTAATAAAAAGCATTGCTGATCCCCATTTTGGTTATTTTTGCTTCCACCAAGAGCTTTACTGTAAATCTAACGGCCAGAGAAAAATAGCAAATAGATTGGCTTGTCTTTCTAGACCATCTCTTTACCTTGTTCCTCTCTTTCTAACAATGTAAAGTAAAAAGTTCATGGAAGACAATATTTGTAGGTTATGGATTAATTATGGTACTAGTTTGTACTTAGGGTGTTCAAAAATGCTTGCATTTAATATAAGCTCAACATTTAAAATTGAATATCTACATGGGATAAAAAATTAAACAGAAGGCAATATTTTATATTAAATTTAAAAAATATATTGGATAATAGTAGTAAAGAATATGTTCCAAGAATAGGGATAAAAGCTGTTGGGTTCCCCCTTGGTACCAACRGCTCATAGATGATCTTTGCTATAAGCCAACAGAATGACAAAATCTCTGACATAATTAAAAGTGGGCAAACCACAATGCATATGTTTCAGCAATTTGCCAAGTATTTGTCCAGGTCTATTAGAGTTAYTGAGCAAATGGGTTGGCATGAATAGTTATATCCTTAATGTGCACATCGTTAAGAGGCCGATATGTCTTCTCATTTACTGGTAACTTCTCCAATTCATCTAGGGTCTCCAGACCATCTATTACCCTGAAACAGAAAAAATGCAATATATGAAAATTTCCTCAAATTGAAACACAATATTCAAATATCTGTAGCACTATAATCTCCTTAAGAGGAAAGGATAATGTTTTATAGTTCTCTGAATTCTCTAGTTGAATGTACAAAAAAATATTATTTTTATGCTATACATATGGATTAAAATTCAGAAATAAAAATTCTTTTTTATGCCTCAGTCAACAAGAGAAATGGGTAGGAATATTCTGATCAGAGTGCCTAAAATTATCTGCTGCATTAATAGCAATCACATAGAGTATCAGCCAATGGTGCCAGTATATAACAGTTAAAGGGATAACAAATTTACTCTCCCAAAATTTAATACCAAATGTGTTGGTTTTCCCAATCCTCCGCTTCCCTGGGTGCCCCTTAATTTAATTCTGACATTTCATGGTTAGTGCAGGCCTCACAGCTTAGTCCCACAAGACTGTCCTGCCACATTAGATGCCAGATTAAAGTCCCAGGTGGCAATCTATACTTCTGACTAACAAGCTACAAGTTAGATGTTCCCTCAGCCACTCCTTGGGGTTGGTAATTTGCTAGAATGGTTCACAGAACTCAGGAGAATGCTTTACATACTATTACAGTTTATTATAAAGGATATGACTCAGGAACATCAAATGGAAGAAATTCAAAATGCAAGGTATGAGGGARGGGCAGAGCTTCCATGCTCTCCCTCCAGGCCCTCTTCCCAGCACAGGCACACGTCCACCAACCTGGAGGCTCTCTGAACCCCATTTAGGGTTTGTTTTGTTTTGGGGTACTGGGGAATTGAACCCAGTGGCACTCTAGTTCTAAGCTACATCCCCAGTCTTGCTCACTTTTCAGACAGGGTTTTAAGTAAGTTTCCCAGGCTGGGCTCTTATTTGTGACTGTCAACCTCAGACTCCTGAGTAGGTGGAATTAYAGGCTGCTCCCCATCCCTGGCTCATTTAGCGTTTTTGTTTTGTTTTGTTTTYAGTACTGGGGACTTACCAAGAGCACTTTGCCTGTTTTAGTCTACTTTTTTGCTGCTGTGACTGAATGACCCAACCAGCACAATTGTAGAGGAGAAAAGTTTTATTCAGAGGCTCACAGTTTCAGAGGTCTCCATCCATAGACAGTTGGCTCCATTCCTTGGGGCTGGAGGTGAGGCTGAACATTACGGTAGAATGTATGTATGGCAGAAGGAAGCAGCTCACACTGGCCAGATACAAAAATATATATCTATATCTATATATCTGTATATATATCTCCCATAACCATACCTCCCCAATGAACCACTTCCTTCAGCCACACACCACCTGCCTCCAGTTACCACTCAGTTAATCCCAACAGGGATTAATTCACAGATTAGGTTAAAGCTATAACCTAATCATTTCTCCTCCAAGCCTTCTTGCATTATCTCACACATGAGCTTCATGGGGACACCACATCTAAACCATAACAACCACTGAGCTATACTCCTAGCCCTTTTTATTTTGAGACAGGATCTTGCTAAATTGCTAAGGGCCTAAACTTGTGATCCTCCTACGTCAGCCTCTCAAATTGCTGAGATTATAGACATTTATGGGTTTTATGGAGGTTCCGTTACATAGGCATGATGGATTTTAAATCATTGGTCATTGGTGACTGAACTCAATTTCCCATCCTCTCTCCTTCCTGGAAGTTCAGGGTGGAGGAATAATAAGGGGGCTAGGATTTAAAGTGCTAACTCTAATCACATGGCTGGTTCCTCAGGCAACCAGTTCTCATCCAGAAACTCTCTACAGGCCAACCAGGCATCACTTCATGGTATAAACTCAAGTATGATTGAAAGGAGTTTATTATAAATAACAAAATATTTGTTTCATTCCTATCACTCAGGAAATTCCAAGGGTTTTAGCTCTGATACAGGAACAAAGGATGAAGACCAAATATGTTTTTCTCATTACATCACAATATTATACCAGTCATAGGGATTTCTTTGCGTATAGGAAATATACAGAGAAAGTATATAAGGACTGTCCTACATTAAGGGTCCTACATGCATGACCACTTTGCATTTTATTGTTTAAATTTTGTGTTTCTCCTTTTGTTTCTAGACAAGAAAGCAAGATTGACAGTTAAGCTCCACCAAGCCCACTTCATATTTCCACCAAAAAACAAAAAACAAAACAAAACAAAAAAAACAACAACTCAGATTTATATTAAAATATCTGTTTTGGAAATCTGAGTAGAATATTTGCTGATATAAAGTGGCTTTTTAAAATTATTCCTCTTTGTGTAACTCAATTCAATTCCCAAGATTTACATATGTACTTTTAAAAAATAACTGATTTACATTTCCACTAAAATGGTACTTTAAAAAAAATATAGGAAAGAATGCCTGAAAGTGGCTTCAGTGACAATAACTACTATTACCAAAACCTTTTGACCTTACTCCTAAATGTAAAACAATATGTTCTTAAATTATCATCTGGGCTAAAAGAAAAACAGGAAACAGAGGAAATAATGAGGTCTGGCAACAAAAGGGCAGGTAGGCTGAGAGTGGTGGCATAGGCCTATAATCCCAGCTACCTGGAGGCTGAGGCAGAAGAACTGCAAGTTCAAGGCCAGCCTAGGCACTTAGTGAGACCTTGTCTCAAAAAATAATAAGGGCTGGGGATACAGCTCAGTGGTACAGTGCCCCTGTGTTCAATCCCCAATTACCCCCCACCCCCAACACACGAAACACAGATTTGAAGCAGATAAAGTCTAATAAAGTATCTAGGACATGGGCCCTTAGAGAACCAGAGGAAGGCTATGGATCATTTTCCCAGAAAAATGTATATGAAAATCCAGCTGTAAGAAGTTAATGAACCTAAGGTTACACTTCATTGTTTCATTTCAGATCCAGTAAGATAAATCCTGGTAATTCCTGATGAATAATTCTGAATGACCAGTTAGGGAGAAAATGAAGAAAACCTAGATTACCTATATACAAATACAAAGATAATTGGATGCTCTAATATTTCATTAACTTGATTGACTATTAACAAAGTATAAATTAGCCAGATGCAGTGACACACGCTGTAATCTCATTGATCTGGGAGCCTGAGGCCAGGAGGATGACAAGTTCAATTTTAGTAAGACCCTAAGTAACTTAATAAAAATAAAAAGGACTGGGGATGCAGCTCAGCGGAAAGCAGCCTGGGTTCAATCCCCAGTACCCCCCCCCAAAAAAAAAGAAGATATAAATTAGATTTAATTATATGGAATTTTTTWAAAAAGCTGTAGTCCTGTATTTTTATTTAACCTAACTTAGCATATAAACTGTTAAATATAACAGATTATAGGATTATGCCTTGGATTATTGAGCTTGGTAAATATTTTTTGAGCGCTGGGGCTGTAATTCAATGGCAGAGTACTTGCCTAGCATGTGTGAGGCACTGGGTTCRATTCTCAGCACCAAAAAATAAAATAAAATACAGACATTCTGTCCATCTACAACTACAAAAAAGTTAAAAAAATTTTTGTTGAATGAATTTAAGTCATATATAATTTAAGAATTTAACTTATATAAAAGAAACTCTCGGAAATGTGGTAGAAACTGCTAAATACCCCCCTAGGATCTATTTTCCCCTTCTTATTCTGAGAAACCTATTTTACTGAGGTTTCTTTGTGTCCTATCTCTCCCTTATAGGTAAAGTATGGCCACATTACAGAGTTCTGGTCTCCCTGGAAAGTTCTTTAAGAAGAAGCTGACTCTGCTGGCAAGAATCCTTTGTCTTTTTATCACAAAGTGATCTTGAAATGAAAGCTAGAGATGGTAAAAAAACAAGAGGCACCTCAAAAATTGGTGGCAAAGTAGAACCATCAAATCAGTCCACCATTTTTAAGCAAATATTTTCAGATCTGTTGTGGCTAAATGCTATTTTTTTATTTTTTAGTACTAGGGATTGAATCCAGGGGCGCTTAACCAATGAGCCACATCCTCAGCTTTTTTTGTATTTTATTTGGACACAGGGTCTCACTAAGTTGCTTAGTGCCTTGCTAAATTGTCAAGGCTGGCTTTGAACTCATGATCCCCCTGACTCAGCCTCCGGAGCCATTGAGATTATAGGCATGTGCCACCAAATGCTATTTTTAATGAAGAGGGGTATATTACTATTCATTTACATAACAATCCTGAAAAAAATTACTGATACCTCTTTTATAAAAAAAGGAAAACAAGTCTAGAGAAGTTATAACTTTCTTTCCACTTGACTCTTTCCAATATTAGTTATACTACTCTCACAGTCATGTTTATGCACTGAGATATCAAAACATAATGAGGGCTGGGGTTGTGGCTCAGTGGTAGAGTGCTTGCCTAGCATATGAGGCATCACATAAAAGTAAATAAATAAAGATATTGTGTCCATCTATGACTAAAAAAAAATGTTTAAAAGAAACATAATGAGAATACTTACTTTCCAAATACTGTATATTTCATGTCTAAATGTGGCTGCTTGCCATAGGTGATAAAGAACTGAGATCCATTGGTATTTGGGCCATTATTAGCCATAGATACAACACCTCTAACGTTGTGCTGAAAAAAAGAACAAAGCCATTAATCTGTGTTTTTAACTATTCCAAATATAAAACTGAAATAAGACATGCACAAACCTTCCAATGTTTAACAAACCAAGAAAACATTAAATAGCTCTATTAGGTTAATCCAAATGTTCAGTTTCTATATATCTGTATCACTATAAAGCCTGTATAAATTATATAACAAATCAAATTCTCAATAATTTCATTTTCACTTTGGAGAATATAGCCACAAACACTTTTAGCAATGATAGAAATAATCCTTACATTTATATTAAGGAATACTGTGCTGGTATGAAACAATCARGCAACAAAACAAATTCCCCATAATCTCTTCTCATATACAGGACTCTTGCTAGTTTCTTTATCTGCAAAACAAGGGAAGTTGGACTAGTTCAGGGTCTATTCAGAATTCAGATGCTCACAAGGCTCAAGTAGATGGTAAACTGAATGTAAACATTAGGGAAAGATGGAGTCTTATAGTGAATAGTTTCTCTCACTTTATGGCATTAAAACAATTTATTTTACACTGATGGCCATAGGGAATGTTATCTATGGTTTTTTTACCCATGGACAGCTATAACCCTAAGACTGGATGATCTAAGGAAGGATTCATTTAGCGCTAATATCATGACACTATTTGTTTACAAGGGAGTATGTGCTGGAGTTAAAAGGACCTTATTAATAAAGCTGAAGACATGACCGAGCTATGCTATAGGGAGGTGCCCCCCAATAAAATACACTACAAGTAACTCCACTGATTAGTGTTAACAACTCATAGGGTAACACTAATTAGACAAGCTATATAGGTGTAGTTACACCAATATAATAATGCTTTATCTCCCTAAAAGGTGACTACCAAATATATTACTAGATCCATAAAGAAGAATACATGTACCATCAAAGAATTAATTTTTAATAAAAGCATCTATTAATTTTTTTCCCAGCTTGAAGAGTAACATTTACCAAAACTGTTGCAAATGATTATGTGCTCTGCTCCATCTATTGCTCTGCCTCCCTGGGAGGTAACCATTATTCTAATAGGTTTACACAGGCCCAGATTATGTTTTGTTTCCTTTGGCTACTTTCTAAACTCCACAAAACTGTATACAACTTTAATCTTTTCGAAAATGCTTTTACATTTAACACTGCTATGTTTCTAATACATGTGTACACAGATGTAGTTCATTGATGTTTTTTCCTACTGTAGTGTGATATTTCACTAGTGAATAGACTAAACTGTACCCATTTTATTACCAATGGACATGTGGCTTTTTTCCAGACTTATTATAAACAGTGTGCCAGGAGCACTCCTGCTGTCCCTTGGTGCACATGTACAAGAGTTTTTCTTGGGTAAGCATTTGGGAATGGACTTGCTGGAAGAGAATATATGCAAATTTAATTCCCATCCTCTATTCTGGTGTATAACATATTGGTTTTTAACCTGCCTACAATGGAATCACTGGGGAACCTGAAAATAAAGCTGATGTCCTAACCTGTCCTACTGATAGTTTTTTCTCTATTTTTAGTAGGGTAAGACCCTAATCTTTTACAGTTCTAAAACTTCCATAGATGATTATGCCACAGCCAATCTCTGGTTTTCAACTGGTATAAGACGCAGTCATTAATTCACATCTAAAAAACTGTTTAGTTTTTAATTCAGGATAAGTCTGACTTTTCAAAAAGTTTATCAACTCTAAACAATTCAAACAATTATTTGTTTTTTAGAATTTTTGTGAGTATATTTTATTTTTTTTGTGTGTAACATATACATATATATGTAAATTAACTTATGAAATAGAGAAAACTTTCTATATTTTACCTTGATACTGCAGAAACTTTGCAGGTAGTTTTTTATATACATACAGAGAACTAAATGAAATTTTAAAAAGTTATACCAATTCTATTACTAAATAGTTTTAAACTTTTATAATAGATATATTTTAATATAACTAAAATATAATAAACCAAATTGCATGTTCTAGTTGAAAACTAATCACTTTTCTCTAATTCTAAAATATCACTATAGATATGAAGTTTGAAAAGATTGCACAATAAATTGTTAACTGAAGTTATCTCTGTGAAGTAGAACTGATTTTCTAAAACTGGCAAGCACTATATTTTCTCTCCCCCACCCTGGTACTGGGGATTGAACCCAAGGCCTTGCATAAGCCAGGCAAGTACTCTACCCCTGAGCTACATCCCCATTTCCCGCCTTTTTTTTTTTTTTTTTTGGTACCAGGCATTGAACCCAGATGTGCTTAATCATTGAGCCATATCCCCAGGCCTTTTAATTTATTTTGAAACAGGGTCTTGCTAAATTGCTTCAGGCCTTGCTAAATTGCTGAGACTGRCCTTGTGATCTACCTGCCTCAGCCTCCTGAACTACTGGGATTACAGAAGTGTAGCACTATCCCAGTTCCTCCCTATCCCTTTTTATTTTGAGACAAGATCTTTCTAAATTGCCCAGGCTACCCTAGAACTTGCACCCTCCTGCCTCAGCCTCCCAAGAAGCTGGGAGTACAAGCATCTGCCACCATGCCTCACTAGATTTTCTTAATTTCAGGAAAAAAAAAATCTTTAAAGCTTGAAAAATACAGAAAAAAGTTAACAAAGAAAATAAAAAAATCCCTAATTATATCACTGTGAGGAATTATTTATATTTAAAATACTTGAGATCTACCCCAAGATCTCTGGTTTTCAACTGGTATAGGACGCAATCATTAATCCTTTAAAATACTTGAGATCTACCCCAAGTATTAAGTTATATTACTACATGAATGTTCAATCATCTAACATGATGATAAAAGATGGGGACTGATAATAAGCAATTGATTAGTTAAGAGACAATGTTTCCTTCCCCTCTCAAAAAAGGTCAGTGATTCATGACATTCAACAGGAACTTTATGGTGAGACATTAAGCTTCTTTGGTATACTGCAAGTTAAACATTTCAGGTTAGGGCTGGGGATGTGGCTCAAGCGGTAGCGCRCTCGCCTGGCATGCGTGCGGCCCAGGTTCGATCCTCAGCACCACATACCAACAAAGATGTTGTGTCCGCCGAGAACTAAAAAAAAATAAATATTAAAAAAAAAAAAACAAACAAACAACAAAAAAAAAAAACAAAAAAACATTTCAGGTTGGACTCAAAAGATGAGCTCACTATCAAGATCAATGAAGTGGTGGAACTCCAGTACATGTGTCAGGCTAGATTGCCATTTATATTTTCTCACTAACTTCATTTATCAAACACTAAAAAGTAGTTAGTAATAATATCAACTTGTGTTACTACAACACATCTGTCAATGTGTCCAAGTGTAACCAGAGAGAAAATAAAATTCTGAAGCACTGGGATATACCTTCAGATATTCACTATATTCATCCTCAAACTTCTTGCCCCAGATACTGTTACCTCCTCTTCCAGTACCTGTATTACAAGACAAGAAAATCAAAAGATATATATATTTTTAAAATTTGTTTGTAGTTATAGATGGACAACATGACTTTATTTTGTTTATTTTTATGTGGTGCTGAGGATTGAACCTAGTGCCTCATGCATGCTAGGCAAGCGCTCTGCCACTGAGCTACATCCCCAGCCCCCAAAAGATATATTTAAAGTTAAAAAAAMCATTCAATTTCTAAAACTTAGGGGAACTTTATAGCATAACACTTTAAATACAAATAAAATTTTATATTGTAGTTCCCCAGCTTTCACTTTACAAACCAGAAAAATAAAATATATCTATCAAAAAAAGAAAGAAAACCCTCCTTAATAATATCAGTCAGAATTTATGGGCAAGTGTGAATACCATCTGCTTCAAAGTTTCTTGCTGTTATAAGGAGCCCATTATACAGACACCACATGCTTTGTTTTCCCATTATTCTTTTCACCCTCTTCTTCATATTATACATCCAATTCCCCTGATGTTAGTTAATGGAAAAATTTACCTGTTGGATCTCCTGTTTGAACCATGAAACCCTTGATATTTCTATGAAATATACAGCCGTTGTAGTAATTACTGGCACAAAGAGCCAAGAAATTCTGAAGAGAATAAAAAATGATGATTGAGAAATAGTACAGCAGAAATGCACTTTAGATAAAGAACCAATCATATTTACTGAAAAAACATGATAGCAGTGATATTAAATATGGCTTTTAGGTATTACTTTGGTAATGTCACTTCCCTGCCAAAAACCCTTTAAAAAGCTTCCCTTTGCTCTCAGAATAAAATAAAATATAAAGTCTTAGTCCTTATTAGCAGGGCTTAACAAGGCCTACATGATCTGGCTCCCCTCTGCATTTCATATGATAATAATCCTTTCTCTGTTGCTTACTATGTTGAGCCTATTAGCATTTTGGCAATTCATCCAAAAGGGGAAGGTTTTCCTTGGGGAATCTGTACCTGCTACTTCTATATGTAGAATTTTTTGTTTGATTTTTGGGGTGCTGGGATTTGAATTCAGAACCTCACACATGCTAGGCAATGGCTCTATCACTGAGCTACACTCTTAGTACCTAAAATGTTCTTTTCACATCTCTTTCCATTGAGATGATTTCATACCTTCTGCACTCAAGTTTGATTATTAGTTTCTTGGGTAGATCTGTCCATACCTTAATTAGCTTCTTTCCTATTGTATTATTCTGTATCTCAATACTCTACTCTACCTTTTAGAATCATTTAGTCTTCATGTCCTATCTATTTTCCCAGCTAGATTAGCTCCACAAGAGCATGGAGTGTCTCTTGTTCACCATTGTATTCCCAGATCCTGGCAAGATAACCTTTCACCAGTAACTGAATGAATACACACAGCTTTCTCTCTTTTTCCCTTAACCACATCCCCAGCCCTTTTTTATATTTTATTAGAGATAGGTCTCACTAAATTGCTTAGGGCTCACTAAGTTAGTTGGTGGGGCTGGCTTTGTACTCACAATCCTCCTGCCTCAGCCTCCTGAGTCACTGGGATTATTGGCGTGTGCCTCATYGCCTAGCTTGTATTATTGATTTTTTATTTGTTCTTTTTGGTTGTACATAACAGTAGAATGTATTTTGGCATATCATGGAATACGGAATATAATTTCCCATTTTTTAGAACTTTATTTTATTTATTTATTTTATGTGTTGCTGAGGATCAAAACCAGTGCCTTGCACATGCTAGGCGAATGCTCTACTGCTGAACCACATGCCAGCCCCCCCACCCATTTTTTTTAAAAAAATATTTTATTAGTTGTTGATGGACCTTGATTTATTTATATGTGGTGCTGAGAATCAAACCCAGTGCCTCACACATGCTAGGCAAGCGCTCTACCACTGAGCCACAACCCCAGCCCCATTTTTTTTAATATTTATTTTTTAGTTGTWGTTTTTATTTTTTATTTATTTATTTATTTTTATATGGTGCTGAGGATCGAACCCAGCGCCTTGCATGCGCTAGGCGAGAGCTTTCTAACACTGAGCCACGACCCCACCCCTAACTTCCCATTTTTGTGGTAGTACATGATATACAATTATACTGGTTGTGTTATTCATATATGAACATAGGAAAGTTATGCCTGATTGCATTATTTTTAATATGTACATACAGTACTCACCTCACATGTTTTGGGAGTCCTCTCACAGAAGACTTCTATTTTAATGTCACCTACATCTGTATGCAGTGTCACAGACTAAAAAGCAGAGAGAATAGGGCATTATGTAAAATTGTGGATGTGTAACCGACGTGATTCTGCAATCTGCATTTGGGGTAAAAATTGTGAGTTCATAACCCACTTCAATCTAATGTATGAAATATGATATGTCAAGAGCTTTGTAATGTTGTGAACAACCAATAAAATAAAGAAAGAAAGAAAGAAAGAAAGAAAGAAAGAAAGAAAGAAAGAAAGAAAGAAAGAAAGAAAGAAAAAAGAATTTGGTCCAAGAAGATTCAGACTATGAAAGAAAGTCACCAGTAGCATAAAATTAAAAACAGATAATACTTAAATATTTGGGGTCATTGAATTTTATTGGAAATAAAAGATTGTAAACATGATCTTTTTGTCTACATCTACTGGCTATTCATTATGGTTAAAAGAATCAAACCATAGTCTAGCTAAATTAAGGGAAATATCTCTCATTTAAATTAAAATTAACCCACAATCAGGTATCTTGGGCTAGGGAACACATTATACTATGATTATAAGAATTATTCATATGGATAACAATTGAGCATATCCTTAAAAATAAATGAAGTACAGATGCATACNAAAAAAAAAAAAAAAAGAGAGAGAGAATATTGAACAAATGAGATTTCTTCATGTGACTACAGATACTGTATTATTTCCCTGACTGGATTCAAGATGATAATCTAATTAAAAACAGAAATACTGCTTAAAAGATGACCCAACTACATATCAGCTCTGAGAGATGAGTTGTACTTCTTACCCGAAATTTATTTCAAAAGCAGGGAAAAACTCCAAAAGACAAACATAAATGTTAGTGCAAAGTGGTATCTCTGCTAAAAAAATTTGGAAGCAAATACTGTGATGAGAATAATTTTTGGGGGGTTGGGATTGTGGCTCAGCGGTGGAGTGTTCGCTTCGTACAGGAGGGAGYTGGGTTCGATCCTCAGCACCACATAAAAATAAAAGCATTATGTTATGTCCATCTACACCTAAAAAATAAATATTAAAACAAAGAGAATAATTTTTTGAACTTTTTAGTTGTATATGGACACAATACCTTTTTTTCATTTATTTATTTTTATGCAGTGCTAAAGATCGAACCCAGTGCCTCACAAGTGCTAGGCAAGCACTCTACCACTGAGCCACAACCCCAGCCCAAGAATAATTATTTAGGTTTGAATTTTTCATGAATAAAAGTAAAAATAATTGGGCTGGGGCTATAGCTGAGTGGTAAAGCGCCCACCTCACGTGTGAGGCACTGGGTTCGATCCTCAGCACCACATAAAAATAAATAAAAATATTGTGTCTAACTACAACTAAAAAAATAAAAAAGAATGCTGTTTTAAAAAATAAAAATAATTTTCATATATTATTGTTTTATGTCACAAGCATCATTTTTTTAATATCTATTTTTCAGTTTTAGGTGAACACAATATCTTTATTTTACATTTATGTGGTGCTGAGGATCGAACCCAGTTCCTTGTGCATGTTAGGCGAGCATTCTACCACTGAGCCACAACTCCAGCCCCACCAACATCACTTTTGTTGGAAAATGGTAAGAAATGATTTCTTCAAAACATAGTATCCATCATTTCCTGTAGGTAGTTTAATTCTAATAGGATTTTTAAAAATTCCTTTCTTAACTATACACAAGAAAAGCTAAAAAGTTGTCAGTATTTCTATATCCTTTGCAGAGGTAACCATAGTGCTCTTTAATTGCTTTTTATTTATTTTATATTCTGTAGTATTTGTAGTTTTGGTTTGTATATACCTTTGCTATCCTGTTATCCTATTCCAGAGAGGGCAAAAAACATTTGGAAAAGGCTTTCTTTTTCATTTATTTATTTATCTATTTATTTATTTATTTGGCAGGGGTTCTTAACCCTGAGGCACATTCTCATTCCTTTTTATTTTTTATTTTGAGACAGGGTCTCACTAAGTTGCTCAGGGCCTCACTAAGTTGTTGCAGCTAGTCTCAAATTTGTAATCCTCTGGCCTCAGCCTCTTGAGTCACTGGGACTACAGGTGTGCTTCATGGCACTGGGCTCTCTTATCTTCTTAAAATAGTATCTAATAGTCAGAATAGAATTATGTTGAAGATGGTGATAGGAATATATGTTCGGGGAAGAACAGGGCACTTTTATTGCTTTTCTTCTTCGAGTTCTAGTTGCTCTCCTTAGACTGAGAGCAAAGGAATTCAATTTAAATGATCATACTTACTATTCTCTTCTGATAATCCAACTCATCTTTTTCATTATCAATTTTTTTCCATAAAAAATAAATTCTGTGTATTTTAAGTGAAAGTATGAAAAATTTGCCAGGTGTGGTGGCAAACACCTATGGTCATAGTTACTAGGTACACTAAGACAGGAGAACAAGTTGGAGGCCAGCCTCAGAACTTAAGTTTTTTTTTTGTTTTGTTTTTTGAGACAGGGTCTCAAAATTATAATTCACCAACAAAATTTTTTAAAACTCATTCTACATTGTATGCTTTGATAATCTATCATTTGTTTATCTTGTCACTGAAATTTCCATGTATTTTTATTTTCCTTGGCCGAATTTCTAAAAATTACTTATAATGAAAGACTTAATTTAAAAGAATTCTGTAAAGCTTACCATTTTTCTTCGTGGTTTCAGGAAGTACGATTTAATTTCTCAGTCTTTCAGAGAAAATCTTGAAAATAAGTTTCTATTCCTAAAAGAAAAAAGATTCAGTTCATTTTTTTCCTATCTTGTTCACTCACACACGATTATATTTACTGTTTTAAAGTACAAGTCTTAAATTGCATCATAGAAGTGAAGAGAATAGCCGACTCAACTCAAGCCCCCAATCTCCTACTTCCCCTGATCTTCCCGACCCTCTTTGTAGGACAAACCTGTCATACATCCAGGCACTGGGTATTTCCTTTATTTGGAAGACTTACATTCAAACATCTGAAAGGGCCAATTTCCTCATTTCCAAGTCTGCGCTCAAATGTCAGGTCTTACTGACCCTATTTAAAACTGTTTTAATCCTAAGACCTGCCCTATTTCTTTCTCCCATAATATTGATCACTAATATACTATATATTTTCCCTTTGACTTGACAATAACACTCTCGCCGAACAGAATGTTCACTAGAGTATCCGGAAAACTAAAACAGTGCCAACACAGAGCTCACCAAACATCTGAATAAGTAAATGAAAAAATAAATTATATTCCATACTTACCACTTCGGTCAGCACAGTCGTTGTTAAAACAGGAAAGATACAATCGCCTTAAACCGCAAGTCTGTTGACTCGAAATGGTAGTTTCTTTGGGCCACCAGAAATCAAGCGTGGGGTCCCTTATGTGAATTCCTTTTATTTCCCCTCTCCTCCTACAGCAAACAAAAACGAATAGAACTAGAGGGATAATGTTACTTATCCTACACCTGAATTTGAAAGTGAAAGAGATCTTTATTAATAATCACAAACAGAAAAACAACATAATCCGGAACTACCTGGCCAAACAAAGCAATGCTTTAGACTCGGAAGTAAAATGGTCTGGACCACTTCCGCCCGGCGCTGCGTGGAGGAAAATAAGCTCAGTACCGGAAGTGACGTACAGGAGAGTTTCCGGAACCGGTGAGTAGTGGGCGATTTCAAAACTTACTGGGGTAGTTGTGCTCTTTGCCTCAAGTCGTGGTTAGGGTTGGTTGTGATTGTTTTGGAGTGCTGCCGAGAAAGAACATTAGGGAAAATAACTGTTTCGGCATACGAGAGACACTTTCTGGTCCTGACTCAAGAACGGCTGCCCTACCTGGCTCTTGTCCTGGAAAGGGCTTGAGGTGGCACTGAAATGAAAGTAGATGAAGTTATGTAAAGGGAACATTTTGTAGGTTGTAGCGCCCTACTGTTAACTAACAATAGCAAACAAGGCTTACGCTTACACTATCCTCTGCTTTATGTTTTGTTCGTTTCGTGTTACTGGGGATTGAGCCCAGTAGGACTCTACCACTGAGCTACATCCCTAGATTTTTTTTTTATGTTTTATTTTGAGGCAGTGTCTCTAAGTTGCCCAGACTGGCTTTAATTTTGTGATCTGTGATCCTCCTGCCTCAGAATCTTGAGGAAATGGGATTGCTGATGTCTGATGATACTGAGATTTATCAAAGATAGTTCCTATTCTCCAGTAGCTTTAGCATAGAAGCTAAAAGAATTATAACAGTATGTCAATGTTATATTGGAGGGAGAAAGGCTTTATTTAGGAAGTTAAAGAGAGTTCGGAAGGGTAATACTTAAGAGTAATGGAGAGGTGATGAGGGTCTTTGAAGCAAGGTTGGGGAGAATAAAAACAAGGATATGAGCCAGTCCTGGTGGGGCATGTTTTTTTGGTCCCAGCAAATTGGTAGACTGAGGCAGGAGAGCAAGTTCAAAACCAACTTAGTAATACCCTGTCCCCAAATAAAAGGGACTGGCAATGTAACTTAGCGGGGAAAGTGAAACTGTGTAGTATCCCCAGTATCCAAAACTTAAACAAATCACCAAGGTATGGGAAGAGTGGAGGAGGAAGAAATGTACATTAGTATATTATATGTGAGGTTTTGCTAGGTGACATATTAATCTATTTGCTTATCCAGATGGCCTGCAGTGTAGGTTGGGTCTCCATTTTGTACATGAGAAAAAAGCTGTCAGATGTTAATGACTTACTTAGGCTATATTATGCTGGAAAGGGGCAGAGCCACTACTTGAAACCACGTCTGTATAATGACAGATATTTTTCCCACATGCTTTGATGCCTTTTAGGTCCAGACCTAAAGTGTTCCAGAGTACCATTTCCTGTATTTTGACTTCAGATWCTCAGTTTTACCTGATTTCTGTATGTTATCATCTTGTGTACGCTTGGTTCCTGCAACAGTCCGGCTTGTCCAGTCTGGTATCTGCATTACTTCCCGTTCCTTCATGGATTTGAAGGCTCTTCTTTCCTCCTTGAATGACTTTGCTTCCCTCTCATTTGCTGAGAGTTGGGACAATGTTGGATTACTGGTGGAACCAAGTCCACCACATACTGTAAACATTCTCTTCCTGACCAATGACTTGACGGAAGAGGTAATGGAGGAGGCTCTGCAAAAGAAGGCAGATCTCATCCTCTCCTACCATCCACCTATCTTCCGACCCTTGAAGCAGATAACCTGGAAAAGCTGGAAGGAACGCCTGGTGATCCGGGCTCTGGAGAATAGGGTTGGCATCTATTCTCCTCATACAGCCTATGATGCTGCACCCCAGGGAGTCAACAACTGGTTGGCCAAAGGGCTTGGTGAGAAGCCTCTTGTTCTTTCATATTTAAAATTTTCCTACAAATATTTAGAAATTTTAAAATGTCTTTCCAGTAAAGTTTTAACTGTTTTAGGGGTGAGGGGACATCATGTTGCTGAAGTCTGGCCGTTAAATTGCATTTGAAAAACCAAACATTGTTATCCTTAATGAATAAGGAAAGCATAAGAACTCATCATTGTTAGGCAACTCCACAATTCTTCATTCATGTGATGCAGTGACTAGAACCCAGGCATTCAAACAGTGCTTGAATTGAAATTGAAAGCTGAGGCCTGTCCAGGATATACTTGGTATGTTAGTGACTGAGACATCGGAGTTTAATAATGTCCAGTGTAATGAGGGAATTCAGCATATGTGTTTTAGCTTTATTTTTGTAAGTTATTTTAAGATAATACTTTCTAATAAGCTTTTCTTGAGTGACTTTTTTTTAATATTTATTTTTTAGGTGTAGATGGACACAACACAATGCCTTTCTTTTTATGTGGTGCTGAGGATCGAACYGGGTCCCACCCGTGCAAAGCGAGCGCTCTCCTGCTGAGCCACAATCCCAGCCCCTTGAGTGACTTTTGATAAGTCATTGTGAGCTAAAGCTTTTATGATGAAACATCTCTAGTAATGTGTTCAACAGATTATGAACATTTGTCACCTGGAAAAAATGGGTACATTTTACATGGATAGATTTACCAAGCAGTAGACAATCTGTATCACCTAAAAAAAAAAAAAAAAAAAAATTCCACAAGTCAGTCTTTCTTGTCCAGTTTTTTCTGAAATTTAAAATACGGGAAAATATTTCAATAATGTTTCTCTCTCTCTCTCTTTGTGGTGCAAGAGATTGAACCCAGGACACTCTACCCCAGAACTGTATATATTCCCAGCCATTTTTATTTTTTATTTTGAGATAGTTCTTGTTTGGCTAAGTTGCCCAGGCTGCCCCTGAACTTGCAATCTTCATACCATGTAGCTAGAATTAAAAGTGTGCACCACTGTGCTTGGTTTGATTTTTTTTTTTTTTAATCTTAAAAGAAAAACCAACAAGAACTTTAGTTTTCCACAATTTTTTTTCTAGGAGCTTGCACCTCCAGTCCTATACATCCTTCCAAAGCTCCCAACTACCCTACAGAGGGAACTCATCGAATAGAATTTAGTGTTAACCACAACCAAGACCTGGAAAAAGTCATGTCTGCAGTGAAAGGAATTGGAGATGTTTCTGTCACTTCTTTTTCTGCTAGGTACAATGTATTTTTCTCTTTTTTCTGTGTATTTATTGGTAAGTGTATTTATTGGTAAGTGCTTTCTTTGTTTTAATTTACTTTTTATTCTGATCTGTTATATATGACAGCAGAATGCATTACAATTCATATTACACGTATAGAGCACAATTTTTCACATTTTTGGTTGTATAAAAGTATATTCACACCATTTGTGTCTTTATATATGTAGTTAGGGTAATGGTGTCCATCTCATTCCACCATCTTTTTTACCCCCATGCCACCCCCCCTTCCTCTCCCACCCCTTTGTTCTATCTAGAGGTAAGTACTTTCTTACAAAGTCTGTAATTCTGTCTTAGCTTTCTATTGCTATGACAATATAACTAAGAGAAATCAGAGAAAGAGATTAATTTTGGTTCATGGTTTCAGAAGTTTCAGTCCATAATTACTGGGCTCCATTGTTTCTGGGCCTATGGTGAGGCACAACATCATGGTGGAGAGTGTGGGGGAACAGTGCTGCTCCCCTCATGGTGTAAAGGTCGGGCGAGCGTCGGAGGAAGAGACCACCAAGAGACTGTCTCATGCAACAGCAAAGGGTTTATTTGGGGACCAGCATGCTGGGACTCAGAGCTCACTTGAATAGAGCAAAGAGAGAGAGAGCCCTGAGAACAGCTTAAGCAGAGCTTATATACTTTCCTTGGAGAGGGCAGGGAGGGAAGTTACATTTTGCAGTTTGGCAGTTGGGGACAGCACATTCTGGGAACAAGATTAGCAAACAGTTCTTAAGATTTCAACAGTGTTTTGTTAAGCATATAGAAAAACGGAGTGACAAGTACCTATTTTATTAACCTTTCAATGGCAACAGCAAAGAAGAGAGAAAAAGGAAGGAGCCAGAGCCAGGGCCAAAATATACGACCCCAGTGATCCATTTCTTCCAAGTAGGCCCTGCCTGTTAATATTTTTACCACTTCCCAATAGCCCATTGAGTTATGAATCCATAAATGAATTAATCTATTGATAAAGTCAGAGCCCTCCTGATCCAGTCATCTCCCAAAGGTCCCCACTGCTCCATTGTGGACTAATTCTTCAACACATGAGCCTCTGGAAGAGTCTTCAGGTCCAAACCATTATACTCTGATACTTAGGTTTGAAACAAAAATTATATTTTCCTGGCATTGGTTTACAAGCTGTGTGTTTCTCATGTGCCTGTGGGTTCCAGACAAGGTGAATTAATTTAATTGTTTTCAAAACAATTAAAATGGTAATATTTATTGAATATTTTCCACTTGGGAGGGATCATACCATACATTTTACATGTAGTATTTCTAATCCTCCTGGTAATGTTTAGGGGTAATTCTTTTTACTTTAGAGAATGCAGACAGACCCTGATAAATATGACTTTTTATTAAAATTGAAATCATTATATGAGGCTACACCAAAAAATGATCTCTGTAATGAGTGATTTTTTTTTTTTTTTTGTATTTTATTTAGAGATGGAGTCTCACTAAGTTGCTTTAGGGCCTTGCTAAATTGCTGAGGCTGGCTTTGAACTCGCAATCCTCCTGGCTTTGAACTCGCAATCCTCCTGCCTCAGCCTTCTGAGCCTTTGGGATTGTAGGAGTGTGCCAGTGCGCCTGGCTTAATGAGTGATTTTTTAAAAAGTATTGATTCCTTATTGTAAAGTCATCGAAAATATCTTGGAGTATTTCCAGAGAATTTTAAGAATCTCAAGAAAAATTATTCCTGGGACTTTGCAAAGATTTCAGCTGTGAATATCTTCTGCCATTTTTAAATACTGTATAAATACTTAAATTAAAAGAAAACTTAATYCTACAAATGAGGTATGAAAAATTGAAACAATACAATAGTCCCCTCTTCCTTCTACTCAATCCCAGTATCTTTAATTCAAGTTGTCTTTTCATTTGTTTAAATAGTATGCTCTTTTTGTCTTAACAGCATGTCTTAAAAGATCTTTTCATTTATGTCTATACCATTCTTTTAAATTAATCTTTT